GCCACTCTCACCACTGGTCCTGAAGGAGTCATCTGTCTTTGATTCCCTGTGTTTCCATCTGTACCAATGTACATACTTTGGTCTAGCCAGATTTGTAATTGGGATCATGATAGTTGGGGGAGGAAGCATTTAGGAACTAGAGGAAAGTTATATGTTCCATCGTTGCTATCCTGCACCCATACTGGCTCATCTCCTCCTCACAACCTTTCAGTAAGGGGGTGTCCAGTTGCCTACTGATAGGCTTTGAGTCTCCACTCTGCACTCACCCATATTTACAATGATGTGATTTTTTGTTCTTTGATGCTTGACACCTGATCCCTTTGACAGCTCGTGGTCACACAGGCTGGTGTACTTCTTCCATGTGGGTTTTGTTGCTTCTGAACTAGATGGCTGCTTGTTTATCTTCAAGCCTTTAAGACCTCAGACACTATATCTTTTGATAGCCGGGCACCCTCAGCTTTTTTCACCACAGTTGCTTATGCACACATTTGTCTTCAGTGATCGTATCAGGAAGGTGGGCACCCACTGATCTGATTTTTAGTTCTTTGATGTCTGATAACTGGTCCCTTCTGCACCTCGTGGTCAGACAGGCTGGTGTGCTTCTTCCACGTGGGCTTTGATGCGTCTCAGCTAGATGGCCACTTGTTTATCTTCAGTCCTCAAGACTCCAGACGCTATATCTTTTGATAGCCAGGCACCATGAGCTTTCTTCACCACATTTGCTTATGCACACATTTTTCTTCAGCAATCATGTCGAGAATGTGTACATCCTGGAATGCCAATTTAATAGAACAACGTGTTCTTGCATTGAGTAAGTGCTTGACTGGGGTCTCCCGTTTTTTCAACTCAGGCCTTAGGTCAGTTAGATAACTTCACTAAGTTTTATGTCTGCTGTTTCGAAAATAATAATTTACACTCTAAAACCTTGGTGTATGAATTAAGAGAAATGCCAAATGCTTGGAGCAGAAGATTTGCTCCTTAATTACTAGCTCCTGTCCCCAGTCTCAGAGGTTAAGATTTTGGGGATTTACTGGAAATTTCTTGACAGATTCTTGAATTTCCAGTAAATACCTATGTGAGCATATGATTTAAAAATATATTGGGGTGCAGATATGATTTGTTGACTTGCCACGTGTATGTCATTGGCATATGTGAGAGATAACTGTTCTTCATAATTCACTTTGTTTTGAGACATGGATTGGTATAACAACAGCCTCTACTACAGCGACGTGAAAGGCGATGTTTATGTGTGGCTGCTAAACGGAACAGAGATCGCAGAGAGCTACCTCATACCCAACATCGCAGGAGCAGGAGCTTTAGCTTTTGAGTGGCTGGGTCATTATCTCTACTGGGCTGGAAAGACATATGTGGTAAGCTGCAACCCAGCGTTCCAGATGCTGCTGCTCACTCACGTCAGCGATCTGCTCATCATTTTCACGATTTCTAGCACCCCCATACTTACTTACCATCCATTCTTATCATGTATTAACACTTTGTGTTTATTTGCAAAATAGACTCCGTATCACTTTAGTTGCACTGCTTATATATCTTCAAGAATAGCTTAAATATATTTAAAAGGTTCACCAATGAAATAGGGTCCCAGCAGGATATATTCCAAAGGCATAATTCAAGGAACTATATGCAGGGACCATTTTCAAACCTAGGAGGGAGGGAAATCCTTCAAGGGATCATGAAGCCTTCCCTGGGCTCACATGTGTGGGAAGCTATTGCTACCTTCAGGCAAGAAGGGGAAGAGCCTGGTGAGAACTCTAGATGTGGGAGAGCTGTTGACCTGTCCTCTAACCCAGCCACTGACACAATGTCTGGTTTGACAAAGAATGAGCTGAAGGAGTAGGTACCCAACCCCTCTTTCAGCCCTCCCTCTAATAGTCTGCCAGTGAGTTTTCTCATTGGCTGAATTCCACCGACAGTCAGACAACAAGGGAACGCAGAGTTGGGTGGAGAAGGAGAAGGTAGAACTGAAGGGTGAAATGCAGATACCCAGCACACTTGTATAGTGGTACATTTAAAAAAGGAGGATTAATTGTGCAATACTGACCTGATATATCCAAAAATAGGAGACTGAAATAATGAACTAACCACGAGGGTGCTTATTATCTATTCAGTCACTCAACCATCATTTGTCATTTACCAACTGCAGAAAACCTTGATAATAGCTATAGAAGGAAATTTAAGGTAAATAGTAGGCATCGACTTGTACTTTAAAAAAATAACAACTTTGTTGACATATTCATTTATCACAGCTTCAGCCTGTTACAGTATAGGATTCAGTGGATTTTAGTATATTCTGGGCAGTGCAACAATTACCACTACTTCTGTTCTTCTGATGAGCTAACATATACATGTAAAGCAATAAAGGAAGCTCACAAACAGTGCATTTAGAGGCTGTCTGATATAGTCTGAGTTCATAAGTGCCAAGGATATTCAAGAAGAACGGAGGTGAGTGCAGTGTATGAGAGATGATCCCTAAATCTATTTTGTTTGAAAATAGTTTTAAAATACAAAGTCAAAGAATAGTTACACAATCAATTCAAGTATTTCTTTGCCTCGCATAAGACTAGTTAACCCCACAGATAGGTAACATTTAAAATAATTTGTTTTCTAATTTTCTAATTTATTGTTTATTTGAAACTAGCTGGTGTGTCACAAAAGAATTCAAGTCAGTGGTGATTTTACTCCCCTTTTTAAGTAATCAATCAAACCCTGTGTAGGTCTGATCGGTAAGAAATTTGAAGGGTTTTAAAGGGTGTGACCCTTCTCTTAAAAAAGTAACTTTTAGTCATTTAAAATTATTATTTCCTTTTATTTTTTGAATACAACAAAGAAAAACATACTATATGTAGCTGCTCAGCCCCTCCCAGCAAAACGATGAGAATGTCCCAGTAACCCCCTGTTAGTGGTTCTTTCTTCTGCTTCTTCTTTTTACCTTCGCCTATTCCCACTCCTTACCACTCGCCCCTCCCCTCCCCTCTCCTGCCTGGCCTTGACCTCATCAGTCATCAAAGTCGTTTCCTTTGGTGTCAAAACCGTTTCCACTTTCTTCCTTTATAATAAGGTCAACATGACATATTTATCTTCATGAAATTGACTAATGCCCTCCAATTGTGTCATGCCATGAGGGGTTTAACAGACCCCTCATTGCTTTTAAAGGATGCACGATACTGTATTATGTGAATGCACCAGGGTTTATTGATAGACATTCCTTTACAGACAGTTTTACAACGTATTTCCATTTTTTGCTGCAATAAATTGCTGGAATAAACATGGGTGTGCACGCTACTTAACTTACTTATGTCCAGTTTTCTTGTGAAAAAAATTTAAACACTCAGCCCCACTGTCATCTCATTGAAACCCTCTGTCGGCGTTCTGTCTTTACAGGAGGGGATGGCCTTCCAGAGAGTGGCTGGTGGATTTGAAATGCAGGCCTTTCAGTTAGCAGAAGGGAGCAAAAGTCCTTTATAGGATTAATAGGGTTACAAGAGTGAATATATTAGAGAGAGAAAAGTACAGTACCTGGCATATATAGATACTCAACAATTGTAGTAATTAATATTAGGAAATGAATTGGTAGAAATAAGCAAGGGGAGATGTCCCCATTTTTCAGGTTATATGCAATCTTTTCAGAACCCCAGTCAAATATGAATACAGACATCTGGCAGTGTGTCGATTTGATTCATAATTAAAAGCATCAAGTATTTCAAGTCAACATAAACTGACCTCCCTTTTTTTTGAGACAGGAAAAAGATTATGCTTGATGAGGGCCCGGGGGCACATTTGTGTGTGTGTGTGTGTGTGTGTGTGTGTGTGTGTGTGTTATGTTTCTAGGGCTTAGCATGCTTCTTGGCACATAGCAAACCAAACCAAACACACAGCTGTCAAGTAAATTCCAACTCAGAATGACTCTACAGGACAGAGTAGGGCTGTCCCATAGGATCTCCAGTCTTTACAGAAGTGGGCTGCAGCATTTTTCTCCTGTGAACCAGCTGTTCGTTTTGAACCATCAACCTCTCATCATAAGAGAGCCTAACTACTATACCAGCATGGCTCTTGATACCCAGGGTGGATCAATACTTGTGGTCGAATGTATACATTCAATGACTCACTGTTATATTGACTGTGCAGAAATAATGAGGTCTTTTGAAAGTCATTACCTTGCTTTTCATATCTTGCAGATACAGAGACAGTCTCTGTTGACAGGCCATACAGACATGGTGACTCCGGTAAAGCTGTTGGTGAATGACATGGTGGTGGACTCAGTTGGTGGATATCTCTACTGGACTACCTTGTACTCAGTTGAAAGCACCAGGCTGAATGGGGAAAGTCCCCTGACCCTCCAGGCACAGACCTGGTTTTCTGGGAAAAAGGTGACAACCTGAAAACCTTCGCTCATCCAATACTAATTACTGGTGCTATTTGTATTGCTTAGTTAGAATAATACTCTCTTTATTGTGAAGAATTAAGATAGAATCTTAATATATGAAATGGTGTTACATTAAGATATTTGTATAACTAAGATTTCTCTAAGACTTATCTGATTGTCATAATTGATTCAGTAAATATAACTACAAATTCAAACATAATGGAAGCTTTGAATTTTAATCTGGAATCATTGCTTTTGTAGTATTAATAACTTCTTTTTTACATTTTTTGTTTTAGTATCAATAACTTCTATGGAATGTTACAGAGCTTTCTCTTGGCTATGATCCAATATTTTGTTATTTTCAATCAATTTTGGGTAGTGGCCCTTCTACAATCAGGGTGGCCATCAAATACATTTATTGACTTTTCTGCTTCCGTTTCAACACCTTAAAAATGTGAATAACTTCCCTCACAGAAGGGTCACAAGGAAGGGATGTGCAAGCCAGGGTGCAGTATAGCACTCATGAAACATACAACATTCCTCTAGGTCTTTAATGCTCCCTCTCCCCCACTATCATGACCCCAGTTCTACCTTACAAATCTGGCTAAAACAGAGCATGCACATCAGTACAGATAAGAGTTCTCGACACATAGAATCCAGGACAGATAAACCCTTCAGGACCAGTAATGGGAATAGCAATACCATGAGGATACAGGGAATGTGATAGGTGCCAGGGGGAAAAAGGGGAAACTGATCACAAAGACATAATCCTTCCCACCCCCCAGGTGATGAACAATATAAACTTGGATGAAGGGAGATAACGGATGGTGTAAGGTATGAAAAATAGTAATAATCTATAATGTATCAAGGGTTCAAGAGGGTGGGCGGGTGTGAAAGTGAGCAGGAAAAAAAAGAGGTGCTGATAACAAAGGCCCAAACAGAAAGAAAATGTTTTGAAAAGGATGATGGAAACATATGTACCAATGTGCTTGACACAATGGATGTAAGGATTGTTATAAGAGCATTTTAAAAAAAGTGAACAACAACAATCCTGCTACCTCAAGATTGAATGAGAGAATTCACATGAAGCAGCACATCAGTAAAGCACATGTAAATGTTCAGTTACTTAAGCTCTAATTGTTGACACACTATTGGAATGCTTTTTAAAATAAATATGTTTTAAAACCTCTTTACCCACTTCATAACTACCCATTTAAATTTCTCTATCTTATTTGTCTCTGAATATAATATAGCATGTCCTTTAAATCAACCTTAGCACGTACAGAAAAGCATGAAGAAGGAATTAGTCATTCTACCGAGGTAAATCTGCTCCCCAAGATTTCTCTAAAGTGTTGAAAAGTAAAGATGTTACTCTGAGGACGAAGATGCGCCGGACCCAAACCATAAGTTTGGAACTGACTCGAGGGCACCTGAGAACAATCACCACACCTAGGATATGCTTTAAATATGTTTTCTTAAATGTTTTCATCTTTTTTGGGTGGCTAGAGAAAAAAGTACCTAATATAGATATTCCAGATCATAAACATAGACATATCAAATGACTCAATAATTTGATAGCATTTACATAAGTTGTTGAATCATTTGAACCTTAATTCTATAGTATACTTATATATTGATTATGATTTCTAGAACATGAGGGTAAGTCTAAAAGTATTGCTATACAATTATGGAAGCCTTTATTAAACAAAAATATAAAAATGTGAAATTGTTTGTGAACATCTAGGTCTATACACTTCTGAAGGCAGTATTTCCATTTCTCTAACCCTTCCCTCAAGGATTCTGGCTCTTCTATTTATACCTCAGCAAAATGACAGGTTGGCATCCTTTAAAGGATTCAAATTGTGATCCTTTCCAATGTTCTTTGAGTTTGGGGAATCTGAAAGAGCAAGATCAGGGCTGGAGGGTGGACAGGGTGAGACATCATAAGGAAATTCTCACAGGGATGGAGAAATAGCAGGTCCATTATTAGAAAGAAAACCATCCCTCAGCATAACTTTCTCTCACCTTTACAACTTTCCATTTTCTTGAAAGGTATTCATAGTTCAAAAGTCCTCATATTGGACCTGTGTCTTTGAGAAAAAGAGATCGAGAAGATTCCTTCCAGATCCCCCAAATAGTCACCACAACCTTCTGAGCTGACCTCTCTTCCTTGAATTTAAGTGACCAACCAGATTTGGAAGGAAATCCTAAGGACAAATGCATTATTGTTCTGCACTCATCTATTGATCTCAGAGGGATGTTTAAACATGTTTTGTTTGCAATAAACATGTGCATATGTGAACTGGGACCCTAATGGCAAGAGTTGTTTATTAACTTACTCTTGTATTTAAAGAGAACTGATTAGTGTATATAGGTTGTAACAGAGATTTAAAGATACAAGCATATGCCTCAAATGCAGAGATTAATCTTTCCCATTGAATAATGGAAAAGACCTCTCTACTCCTTTGGGGACCACTTAAGTTAGAATACCATGAGATTATGTATTGTTTACATCTTATTACATAGGTCTTGGAGAGCATGTGCTCATTTTTGTAAAAGCATATTAAACTCATTCACTGCCATTGAGTCAATTCTGACGCACAGTGAACCTATACCTTCATATGCGTTTGTTACCATTTAAAAGCATAGTAAGGTAATGCTATTTCAAGAGTAACTTCCTCTTGATCCCGAGAGTGCCCTCAGTAATCTCCCTGCTGCCCCATCTGATTGTTTGCAGCCTCACAGCCCAGGGAGATTCTGCAGTGACCCTGGTGACTTCTGTAAATGAGGGAGTCATTAGAGCGCTCAACAAGTGTGGAGAATAGAGCCTGCTTTCCATTTGCACGGCACTTCCTCTTACCCGCTGGTCAGGGCTGCTGCTGCAGGTGCAATCTGAGTCTGCTTCCTGATTTTGGTGGCCGCCATTAATGCTAGCGCTTGTTTTGAGGGCCGCGGAGTTTTCTCAGAGCAAACCTTCCATCTTTCTGTGCTTCCTTTCTATGCCACCCACTAATTTATCATGAACTCATTAGGTCCTTCGCAATCATCAGGTATAATGAAATGTTGGTAGGCACCGTCACATTAAGTTCGATGCATAGTGCCCCCATTTGACAGAGTAAAAGTGCCCCATGGGGTATTCTATGCTGTCATCTTTGTGGGAGCAGATACCCACATCTTTCTCACGGGGAGCGAGTGGGGAAGTTCAAGCCACCAGCGTTTTTGTTAGCTGAACTGGTTCCTCGCCAGGGCTCTTTTCATAATGAAACACAGCCGGCCAATTTTCAAATGAAAGAACTATGATTCTTGTATGATGAAAAGGGAGAATGAAGTGAGATGAATAAGATACTAATTGCTCCAATGGATGAGTCCAACCCATTGCATAGGGTACATTGTACCACGGGGTTACACTTTGACAGAAGAGCTTTAGTCAAGACCAAAGGAAGTATTTCCAACGGATGGACATTTTTAGACACAGCAACAATTACCAAAGATTTAAGGAACACCTTCTGACAGGTCCCTAGGGAGAAATGGGATTAGGACCCCATACCTGAATCTGACTCATAACTTGAACAACAGTTCAGTGTACTTCAGCAATGGGAGTTGTTGTGTCTCCTTTTTAATAAATAAAATAGAGCTAATTTTTAATACATAAAATTAGAAAAAAATCAGTTCATATCATTTAAGAATATTTACTTTAACTGAAAACAAAATCTATCCATCTTTTAGCTTGAGGAAAGAAATCATTCAACTCCCCAAGGTTGGGCATTGTTTGAATAAATAGCCTTTTACCTCCTGGGAAAGAAGTGGGGTTTGCTCGGAGACAGAAAGCTGTGATTTAGATGATTGCTGAAAGAGTTTTGCAGCCATATGCCCCATGCTTGCTACTCTGCAACTGGTCTTGAAGAAGCAAGTATTCTCAGTTCTTCGGCACTTCCTCATATTCTTTTCACAGGCTCATCAATTTTTGTCAATGCTCCTGTATCTTGCTAATGATGTAGTAATTCCTCTCAGCCACTATGTCTGCAATAGAGCTGATGTCAGACTCCTGACAATCTTAGCTCATTTCAAAACTACCTGAACATCTGAAGAAGATAAATGTAAAAAGATCCCTTATACAGCAACTTGGCTGAAGTGCAGCTTGATTTGTTGAGGAAGGAAGGATTTAGATCACTGATATCCTGAAAATAAGAAAGTAGAGATGAGGCTGTGCGGAACACCAGAGTTAACACATTTTGGGATAAACCTAGGTTTAATTATTTAACAATATCATTAATATCACACATAAGCGACATTTTGCTGAAGGTCATTTTAAAAAGCCTGCAGTAACACCTTGAGAGGAAGCTGCCAGAAATTCAAGCTGGATTCAGAAAAGGACAGAATAAGAGATATCAATTGAAAAATACATCATAGATTTAATAAGCTTTAGCACATTGCCTCAGGAATACAATGATCGCCATAATATATTGTAATATGTTTTCTACAGAAAAGCGGGTTCCAGGTTCCAAACAACTTATACATTAACTTTTGACACAACCACCTATTTTTATTCTGGTTAAAGGAATTTTCTCTCTCTCTCTCTCTCTCTCTCTCTCTCTCTCTCTCTCTCTCTCTCACACACACACACACACACACGTTATGGATTGCTTTCTTATACAGAAGGTGATAAGTTATTGCCTACAAGCAGATAGCTCCAGCAGCATTGAATAGTATACATGGCCTTCCTTTAAGTCTCCTCTCACAGAATTCTTACTCTGTTTACTCTAATTAAAATGTATTGCTAAATCAAGCTCCGTGCTAGATACTGGGCTATACAGTTCTCAAGCAAAACCATGCATTAATTTTACCTAGAGGCCTTGTCAAAAAACAGATAATTGGATCCTACCCCTCAGTTTCTAATCCAGTGGGTCTTGTTGAGAGCCCTGAGTATTTGCATTTTCAACAAGATCCCAAGTGGTGCTTCTACTGCTATTCTAGGAATCATATTTTGACTAGTGCAAAATATAACAAATGAATACTATGTAGTTCCTACCTTTTTGGAGTGGAAGGAAGTCAATGTTTGTATTCCAAGTACATAGTAGTAGGCATAATCACATAATTTTTGTATCCAGCTAAATGTAAAACTCTCAGAGTTTATCATTCCAGAGAGACTGTTCAAGAGATTGCCTACAGATAATCTATTTAGAAGGTATCCTTCAAAAGTCCATTTGACTTATTTTCTTACCTTGTTTCCTACTTAGGTAATTGCTCTGACTTTAGACCTCAGCGATGGGCTCCTGTACTGGTTGGTTCAAGACAGTGAGTGTATTCACCTGTACACAGCTGTTCTTCGAGAACAAAAGTAAGTAGTATCCCGTGAAGGCAATGGACGAGTATTGCAGAATGACTTGCTCTTCAGTTACAAATTATATGCAGGAGAATTCATCTATTTTTTTCAATATCAAGTGAAACCAGATACTGTCAAGTATATTCTGACCCCCTCTACATCAGAGTACAACCATGCCCCATAAAGTTTTCAATGGACTCTTCTTTTTTTCTTGGTAGCTTGTCAGCTCTTCTGAGGCACCTTTGGGTGGACTTGAACCTTCAAACTTTTGGATAGCAGCCTCATACATTAAGCTTCTGTACCACTCTGAGACACCATTCTTTTAATAATTATTTACTAATGAGCCACTGTGTTGTAGGCATTGTGCTGCCCTAGAACTAGCAAACTTAATAAGTCACTTTTAAGGAAGATTTTATAATTTATATGGAAAGATACATTTGTAGATGGCTAATTATGTTAGGATATGGTAAGTGCGGTGAGTGGGCAGGGACAGAATGAATTGGTGACAACTAGCAGAATGCTATTCAAGTCCCCAAATTGCGGTGCTGAAACATCACTCTCTCAGTGAGGCTCCCTCGGATTACCCAGAGCAGGTCCAATCTGCTTGTTAAGGAGCCCACTCTAATTCCTTTTCCAGTTCCTTTCAACATAGTAACTATCTGTGAAGTGCCTACTTGTCCTGCTAAGCTATTGTGTTAGACTAGAGAAACAAATCCATGGACACGCATATGTGTATAAGAAAGAGCTTTATAGACAAGAGCAATTGAACATGGAGAAAACAGCCCAGCCCAGTCCAGATCAAGTCCATAAGTCTGATATTAGCCTGTATGTCTGATACCAATCTCTAAAGTTCTCTTCAGACTCACGAAACACATGCAATCACGCCGAATGTAGAAGATCACAGGCCAGTGGGTAGAATGTCTTTGGATCCAGTGTCATTGGAAATATCTCAGCGCTGGCAGGGGTCTCTGCATCAGGGTGGGTCCATGTATCTTGTCAGTTGCGCCTGTCTCCCAGGATGTGACAGAGAGAGACAGTGTCTCCCACCTCCAAGGAGGAAGTACCAGATTTCCCTGGATTCTCAGGAGAAGGCCAAGCCCACACAGAGGCCTCATTGGCTATCATCTGATTGATAAGCTAGACTCCACCCCTATACTCTTACTCCTCAGATTGACAAACGATTACATATCTACCATAGCTATGTATTCTATGAGAAATTGTACCTGTTCTATTTACCGCTCTATACCTAGTGGCTAATACATCGCTAGACAAATAACATTCGTTGAATGAATGAGCCAACTCACATTGGAGTAAGTTCAGCTTTTCTGAGCACGCCACACTCATGGAAGGGTTGACAGTGCCAAACATCTTGTTATGATCTTTTGATTGAGTTTTGACTAAAGTTCAGCTTGACTTATGGTTGAGGATGGAAGGATTTGGATCAATGACCTCCTGAAAATAAGAAGGTAGAGATGAGGTTGTGCCGAACACCAGAGTTCGCACATTTTTGGATGGACCTAGCTGTCCTAGAGACTTTCAGAAGAGCCTTGAGCTGGCAACTGAAGCAACCCAAGCCAGTACTACACGGGACTGTTTGGGAAACCCAGTCGCAGACAAATGTGTGAGCGAGGCTGACATGACCTCTGTGGGGTGTGGGCTGCAGAGGTTCTCTGGGTTACCCAGAGGGTTAGGTACTCAGACAAGCATGTCCTCCTCGGTGAGCTTCCTTTCATCTGGAAGTTATTTATGTATCTCACAAGGTTACTGGAAAGTTCTAATGAGGAGCTGAAACAATAAAATGTAATATTAGACAAGTGAGTGAGTTCAATTCCAAGGTCCACTCAGAATCTGACTTCACAATTGAGTAGCTTTGAATAAGTAATATTTTATTGAAAAATAACTGCATGAATACAATAGTAAATATATTTCTAACAGTGACCAACTCTGGTCCTCTGTCCATGTTTCTTAAAGGAGTATTGTAAAAACCTTAAACCAAAAGTATTATTTGTTTTGGTTTGAATGCTATACTTGATACTTGTATAAAGAGGACAATGCCAAAACTTAAAAAAAAAAAAAAAGAGAGAGAAATCCTAAGGGAAAAAAAATCAAACTGCTACTCCACACATCTAAGATTCACTGAATTATTGCACCTAGGTCTGTTCCCCCCTTAATCTTAAATATATTTACATATGTACATGTCTGTACCTAGGCTTGTATATATGCCCTTTGCCTCCTACTTCTTTCCTCTATTTCTTTAC